CAGACAAATGAGGACATTCTGCCAGCCACCTACATGGAAGAAGATGGTGCTTGACCAGGGTGTTAATAGCCAAGGTCCTTTCATTAGAAGCAATCATCCTGAATACAGTTTGAAGCCAAAACTGGCAGGATTTCAAAGGATTAAGTCTTGTATTTGCCAGTGGTCTCCAAAGAGATAAGGTAGCATGAGAGATGATAGGGAGGGAGAGAGAGAGAGAAAGAGAGAAAGAGAGAGATATTTGAGATGAGAAGTCCCACAACAGGCCACCTGGGGTGCTGACAGTGTGGTGTAGTTAAAGTCCAAAGGCCTCAGAACGAAGAAATGAGAGAAGCTAGTGATGGAACCTAGTCTGAGGCAGAGGACCCAAGATATAGAGAGGATGCTGGTGTAAGTGTTGGGGTCTATAGACAGAGAGTCTGAACTTCTGGAAAGAATAATGTTTTAGCTAATGGGTTTTATCATTGCAGGAACAAAAATATCTAACACTCACAAGTTAAAGGAGGAAAAGTGCCTTTTCCTTAGAGCTGATAGAGGTTTCATGCCATAGCCAGCTGACTCCAAGGCACAGTTGCATGGCAGAGGAGCGTGGAAGAGGAGAAACAGTCCATGGCATGGCGGGCAAGAGGCAGCAAGCATCAGGCTTCCTTCTTTCATTGCCTTAGTATTTCATCCAGGATACCCAGGGTGGGCATAAGCTAAACCAATCAGTAAATTAATCCATTTATCCTGCTGTTAAACCATTATTACACACCTGTGATCCAGCTACCTCCCCAAAACCCAAAAGTACATAAGGCTTTGAGGGGACATCTAGATATAAGCCATAACAGCTCCTAGCGCTTAGGAGACTGAGGGAGACAACAATTCACCTTTTGTATTTGTACTCTTTGGTTCCCCAGCTGAGTAAATTGTGCCCTTCACATTGAGGACAGGTCTTCCCTAATTATCCCCCCTTGGATTCACAAACTGACCTCCTTTGGAAAAACCCTCACAATTATACCCAAAGTATTCTTTCATCCAGTCAAGTTGACACATACAGTTCACCACTGCAGATGTGATATGTCAGGGAGGGGTTAAGGAAGAAGTTAGGATTTTGGGGCTTGAGTAGACCAGGTTTCTGTTTATCAGGACAGGAAGGCAGCAGCACAAGCAGATTCAGGGTAAAAGCCAAGAGCTGTTTGGGGATTTTATGCAATGAATGATGACCATCAGGGAGTCACACAGTTGTGTCTGGCATTCTGGGGAGTTGTCTGGACTTGGGATGTCTGTGTAAGAAGTACGTGGAGAGCACAGGAAGCCTAGGAGACAGGAGAGGGCTGGCAGGTTGGGCTGAACCCCAGAATGCTCCAGTGTTTGATGTTGGACGATGAGGAAAAACCAGAAAGGACTTTGAGGAGCAGTTAAGGAGTGGAAAGAACACGAAGAAGGAAGTTATCCTGGGAGCCAAATGAAGAAAATATTTGACAAGCAAATGGTGGGCTGCTTTCATCACTAAATGCTTCTGATGAGGTCAACTACAGTGAGGACAGAGGTTATTCGGGGGTCGTCAGAGACTCAGTAAGAGCAACTTTCGGGTGTGGTAGACTCCCACTCCCAAAAAAATTATTAGAAAGAGGGTATATTTTGAGAAATCTTCTATATAAAGTTTGGAAAAGTAAACAGTAGCTAGAAAGACAGGTAGAGTCAAAAGAGCTTTGATTTCAAAGGTATGGATAAATGACAGCACTTTAGGACTGATTGGCCTGAGTTCATGGTGCAGAAGGAAGTGACTGTCCAGGTGACTCAGGGGAGCTGTCCAGATCAGCATCTTGGAGGACAGAAGTGATGGTGGCCCAGAGACAGGTAGGGCAACTGGCTAGATGGGAGCAGGATCAGCTCACAGCAGCAAGGAAAAACAGAAAGGTGATAGGATTTAGGAGGTGGCAGGTGACACGAGGGGGATTTGGGTTTCTTTCTGTCTCATCTCTCCACTGAGTGAAAACCAAGGTCAAGAGTAAAGCAAGAACAGAAGAGGGGAGGTGTGACAGGGAGAGCATGGGCTATGGGGTCGTCCATGGGGAGCGGACTCCACCGTTGTGCCCAGCTGACTTACTTCCTGCCCCTGCAGGGCTGATACCCACCTGGCCTGCAGGTGCTGTATTCCTGGGAGGAGCACAGTCTTCTCTGCCCAGACACTGGGGTAATCATCAAGCTCAGCTTCAGCTTCATTGACGGAAGAATGATGCTTCATGGATTTCAGTGCCTGACTTCTTCATTGCTCTTTCTTAGGGACCCATCAGAGCTGAAATGAATCCCAGGGAAGAAAAAGTAAGCATAATTACAGAGGTAAGTGTTGAGATGCCCCCTGGAGCATGTACTTTTCACTGAGAAACTGAAGTGAACAAGCATGAACTGCATATGTTAAGAGAACTGTTAGGTTAAAGGTAACAGTGCTGAGTTGAAGCAAGGGCAATTTGGGAGTAGGACAGCCCTCAGGAACAGAGGAGAGAGCACCACTCTGCCCACTGAGAAACGGAAGTGAAGAACAGGAGGAGAGAGACAGCTTGCTTGGGGACAGCTCAGAGGTTCCTTATCTGAACACGATCTGATCCACTGACTGCTGTGATTAGTGAGACTCAGTTATTTGTTACAATGTCTACTCCCAAATTAGGCTTTCAGTTCCTTCAGATACTAAGTTAGGCTGCAGGGTGTTAAGGAAACACTCCAGGTAAGGAGGCATCCTCAGGCCGAGCTTAGTTTCCAGGCCTTTGATATCAGGCACACGAGGGAGAAGGTGAGGGTGATGCAGGCCCATAGGCACCCCCATCTGTCTTGTCCTTGCTACTTCCTGAGCATAAGGCCTCCTGATTAAAGATCAAAGGCAGAGACACTGCGCTGTTTCCAATACATGGCTTCAAACATCAGGACACATGTTATAAAAGCCATGCAGATTAACTTCAAGCACAGTGCTAAGTACCTAAAACCACACAGCCTTATATTTGCCTACCAGTGTGTACAACTATGTTCTGGGTCTCTGGTCCCTGGGAATTCCACAGTGACCAAAACCCAGCACTCACACAGATCTTCCATTTCATCTTATCCCAAGTTTCCCTGGACAGTTTTCCAATGATCAAAGATGAAACATTATTGGAAAGGAAAAGATGACCTAGATTTCTCATAAGACCGTTCTAAGCCAATAAAAGCAGGTTGGTATTAGGAGCAGTACTTGCATTATCTTGTAATTAAGTCATGGAGTTCTTGAGCAAAGAACACTGCATCCCATGAGCCCGGAGGAAAGAGGGAGGTCAGCTCCAAAAGGACTGGAAAATCCACCCCAACATAATGGACCTGGCCCGCAAATCTGGTTGAAACCTTACCACATTGTTAAGATCTAGGCTTTGTGCTCCAGTATAAAAGCAACATATTTAGAAAAAGCAATGATTTTAGAAAAAGAGGTCTCACAAATTTGGTCTGCCAAAGAGGCTCTGTGTTTATGTTGTCTCTTCTTGTTTACCAAGAGGTGGTTATGTCCCCAGTCTATAAAACTCTCAGGCAAGACAACTTCAGAACTCAAATACTTTTAAGATTTCTGCTCTCCTATTTTATGTTAAAATGCTAAAAAGCATAATGTCTACAGAAAATGACCTTTGTGATTCTCCTGTTTCAAAAAGATTTGCCAGATTTTCCTCTGCATTGCGATTCTCATGGTGATTAAGCCAGCAAATGCTGTATTTTCATTTTTTCTTGCCTACTGGTAATGATACAGGGGAATGAAACTCGATCTATGTATGTCTGGTACGAGTTCATGTTCTCTAAAATCGAAGAACAAATTTTAGGCACAACGGAGGGTAAGAGCAGAATATATTTATTGAGAGAAAAAAAGCTTCTGTCTGAAAGAGATAGAAGGGGTCCCAAATGGGTTGCCAGGGACTCTGTCTTTTTTAGGGACTTTTATAGAGTAAAACCATGTGGTGAGATGTGTTCAAAGTGGGGAAAACTGAGAACTCACAAGGCAGATGGGCATAAGGTGGGGCAGAACTATGGTTAGCCAAAAAGATTAATTGTTCAGGTAAAACCGATTAAATCAGGGACAAATGGAGAAGTGAGTCACATAGAAAATGGGCATTCTTAGGGAGCAGAGTTGGAATGGTGACTCCAGGCTTCCTCAGGTTGTTAGGGAACTATTTAGAACATCAGTCCTTAGGATGTGGATGCATTTGCTTGATCTTTTGTTTTTGGCCTGGCCCACAGCAGGAGGTGTCTGTCTCCCCCATAGTGGCAGGGTACTTGGGCTTCTGCACTGGTTCCTTCCAGGACTTAGCCCTGTCTCACTGCCTATAACCCAGCTGCCTGTAACAGTAAGGCTGGGAAGAAAAGGCTGTGGAATCTCAAATATGATTCCGATGTCTGTCCTGGGCTGTGGCTCTCCATCTGTCCTGGCAGATGTCCTTTTTAATTAGTTACTTTCCTTCAGAGGTGCAGTGGGGTGTGGGTGCTATGACCCTTCCTGAGCCCCCAGATCCAGGAACACTGTAAGTGCTCAATAAATCCTGAAAGCGTAAGTGCAGAAGTGTAACAGCAGTGCTCCAACGTCCTGTTTACAACCATTTCTCTCTCTCGGATTCAAGTTTTCCAGAGCTTGTCATTTGGAGGAGAATGGATAGCAATGGCCACTTAAATTGACCATCACTTGATGTCAGCCGAGATCAACGTCATGTTCTTAACTGTAACAACTGAAAATCATTCCCCGCTTCCTGTTTTAAGATTCTCTCCCCTCTCCCGTTTGCATTTCAACAAAGGAGTCCACTGCAAATGATGAGGACGCAGAAGTGGGACGGCGGGAGAAGAGCTCCAAGGTCCAAAGACAACAGAGAAAGAAGCAGGTAGGAAGTGCAGGGGAGTCCTGTGAGTGGACGGTGTCACCTGCACCTCCGAGACACAGAGTCTGTCAGAGGAGCATCCCTGCTGCAGTCCCAACTTTGGGCTGCTCTGGGGCCTGTGCCCCCTGAGTGCGATGGCCAGCCTGTGTGGGACCCTGGGGTATGAGCTGGTGAGTGATCCCGTATCAGGGCTGGGGTTTGTACTCTGAACCTTTTCCCTTTAAGTTTCTTCCCAGCAACCTCGAAAAGTCTGAAAGGAACCTTGTTTTGAGGTTGTCACCAAGGCCATGAACAAGGACAGGCAGTAGATGGCAGTGCAGGATTGTATATCTCAGGGAACTCCCCTTTCTCACTCCAAGCCGGAATTCCATTTTCGTAGGAGCCAGCAGCCAACCCCTGGCTCCCGGGCTGCGGGCAGTCCCTCCCCCATCTCTGCAGGAGGATCTCCTTAGGCTGGGATAAAATAACCTTTTTCCAGGTAACTCTGTGCCCCGCCAAGGAGTTGCCATCTGCTACAAGGTGGGGCAGGGAAGAAGAGGTCCTTGTGGAGTGGTGGGAGGACGGATCAGATGCCAGTGAGGGAGAGAGGGAGGAGACAGGGAGAGAGGGAGTGAGGCAGGGAGGGAGGGAAGGGGTGCGCCATCTTGAGCCAGCAGGCACTGGGTGATGGGGGGATGACGGGAAGGGCATCCCACGAGCCCAGTGGGCAGGAGTCCTCCCTCCCAGGTCCTCCAAGCTCAGCACCCTCTGCTGGGCAGAGCCAGCCCACTCTCCTACAGGCCGGGATGAGGTTGTGCAGAGCAGAGCTCCGGGGGTGGGGCTGCTGCCCGCCACCAGTCAGGAGCGCCAATCTGACCGCCTTCGAGCCGACCTGCACCCAGAGCTCTAACCCTTTCCTCCTCAGGGTCGGCCTACTGCTGTGCACGCATGTGCAGATGAAAAAGCTCCGGAGCCCTTAGGTCTAAAATCCCAGTAAGCTGGGGGAGGCTGGAGCTACTCGGAGACTGCACGGGGAGAGAGGCTGGGATGTAATAGGTCTCTGTCATGCTGGAGCCTCAATTCCTCCGGGTAGCTTTGCTGAAATGCCCCAGGTCCACCTGGTTGTCAACTGCAATCAGAATCTCAGTACTCCACATGATGCCTCCCCTGTGGAAATGTGTGCCGACTTTACACATGGAAAAGCCACATGCCAGGAAGTTAAATCACTTCGCGCTCCCCTGCAGCCAGGGTTTGGCAGCAAGCCCTGCCCCGGGATGCACTACTGCCATTTCCCTGGCCAGTTTTTCCCCTCTGAGTTTGGAAAAGACCCTCGCAGCCTCTCCACGGGGCCTGCAAAGTGGAGGCTCAATATTTTCCCTGCGTGAGCAGGTGTTAACAGTTGTCCCCAGTCTATGTGGAGTTAGGAATGAATTACTTGATTGTGATTTTCCCCCCTACTCTATGCATTTTACCTACAGAAAGTGAAAATGACCATCTTATTTTGAGACACCTCAGTGATTTTATAAAAAAAAAAAAAAAAATCCCACAGAAAAACTCAGAGCTGTGCAGGGCATTTGTGGCACACGCCTGAATCCCAGCATCAGGAGGCTGAGGCAGGAGGCTCTCTGAGAGTTTGAGGTTGCCATAGCCTGTACCATGAACTACATTGTGAGACTGTGTCTCAAAAACCATCAGGGCTGGCACCAATTCCTGGGGTGAGAGTTAGGATGTGGCTGTCCACTGTGACTCAGATGACAGGTACCACAGTTTTGCTAGTGACTGACTTCATCCCTACTGAGGAACTGAGCCACCTGAAACCCAGGGCCCCTGTGAACCTTTAATCCTCTGTCCACAGCCACCAAGAGCTGACTCCGAGGAAATGGTGACCGGAAAAGCCCAGCCGGGGCAGGAAGAGCCTGAGATGCACCTCCTGAGCATGCCAGCCCGGCGGGGTCCCCGCAGTGAGTGCCTTCCCCTTCTGTGCAGATGGTGTTTATTAGCTGCCTGCCATGAGCTTAGAGCACCACTGTCTGAGGACTTTTTCAGGATTTTCTTTGTTAGTATGTTTGTTTTAGTCCTGGGAATTGAACCCAGGACCTCATGCTGAGCTCTCTCCCTCCCCCGCCCAAGTCATTTGTCTTCTTTTGTTTTGCATTTTTTCTTTTTTCCTTTCCTTTTCTTCTTTTAAGAGTCTCCCTAAGTCACTGGGTTGCCCCAGGCTTGGTTTGATCTTGTCATCCTCCTGCTTCAGCCTCCTAGGGTGCTGGGATTTCAGGTGTGCACCGCCGTGCGCATTTTAAGGACATTATTCTTCATGCACGGCCACTGCTTCTATCTCACGTTATCAAAACTTTGTGCTGTTTTAAAGGATAGTGTATCCAAGAGGCAGGACAGTCCCTTTTTGAAATGTATTTCTATAAATGAGTAGGTTAGGAAGCATTTATTGAAGTGGAAATGGTGTGGACAATCAAATATATAGAAATTCAAAGGAGATGACATAGTTAAGGGTGACATATGTCAGTGGAGTGGGGCTTGAATTTCATGTTGGAAGAAGTGAGGGCGCTTTCTGGGGCCCCAGGTGACCTTGTCGCCTAGGATCCCTATCCTCACCCCTCTATGCTCCCCTCTCCCGCCCTAGAGCTTTGGTCTCTATTCATAGCACAATGAACCCCATTGATTGTTCGCTTATTGTACAGAGAACCATGGCCCTCAGCTCAAAGCTTTGCAGGAAAAGTAGTTTGGGTGAGGAGTGCAGCCACTTCGCAGTCCCGCAGAGCTGTACACTGCGTCCCTGTGGCAGAGGCGAGGGCTTCAGGAACTGCTGCAAGTGAGAGGATTTTGGGAAACTGCTCTAAGGTCCAACCCTGGGAGAAAGTTTGCAACCTAGAAGCCATGCTACAGAATTCCTAGGAAGCAGTAAGAATAGAACCAGAATATGGCATATTTCTTTTTCTAAATACTCAAAAGCATTCACTTCTAAAGCTTACAATGTATCTTAGCTCAGCTGCTGTAACAAAATACCATTCAGGAAGTGGCTTAAATGCTGGAAATGTATCATTTTCCTTATTTTGTAGCTCCTTTTAGGAGACCTTTTGCTCAGAACCAATTTAAAACAATGTTTACCTGCGTTTTCTGAGGTGAAACTTCAAATCCAGCCTGAACAGCAAAATTGATGCTCACAGATTAATGCTGGGCAAGCATTAATAAAGTTGATGAGGAGGGGAGAGTACCCGGCTACTAGGCAGACAGATAAAGGGTAGGCAAATCTCACAGCCTCAGACTTGAGAGTTTAAGACCATGTTTGAAGCTAGTCAGCCATCCGGAAGGCACCGCGAAGGTCTTTACCCGCATTATTATTTAAATATCAGAACAGTCCAACTATCAGAGATTGGCATGTTGGTTAGAAGAGTATGTGAATCAACAGATTCAAGTGAAGGAGGGAAACTCTGCAGTCTTACCTGCCGCCCTCAGAGCTCAAGTCCGCTTGGTGCGTTTTGAGACTGCTCTACGCAGGCAAATTTAACCCTCCTGCTCTTTAGACCTAATGGCTTACAGCTGCCCATAGAGACACAGTGATAGTGCTGTGACCCCGCAGCGATCTCGGGGGACCTGAGCAGGACTTCATACCAGATATAAAGCCAGTGAGAATGCCCATGACATCTGGCCTTTCTTCATCTTTTCCAATCACACTCAAAGGATGGTTTTCCTGAGTTCCTTATCATACAAGAATCCTTTACCACTGGATTTTGGTTATTATTATTTAGTTTTTTGTCTCAGCTACTCACCTTCTTCTTCTCCGTCTCCTCCTCCTCCTTCTCTTCATCCTCCTCCTCTTCTTTTGGTTTTTTTGAGACAAATCTCATTGTGTAGCCCAGGCTTGAACGCAGTGATTCTCTTGAGTGCTGACTTTACAATCATGTGCCACACACCCAGATTAACTACTCAGCTTGCAAAAATCAGTATCTACATGTCACCCCTATCTGGAAAAATCCTCGGTGCCCAGGGGCCTATGTGGAAGCTTTCTGAGATTCCACGGCCCTTGTGCAGTGTGAGTGTCTGAAACTGATCTAGGGGAATGAAATTCCCAACCTATGATAGGTTCAGTACAAGTTCGTGCTTACCAAAATCAAAGAATAAATTTTAGGCACAACAGAGTTAACAGCAGAATATATTTATTGAGAGAAAGAAAGCTTCTGTCCAAGGGAGAGACAGAAGGGGTCCTGAGTGGGTTGCCAAAGACTGTCTTTTATAGGGACTTTTATAGAGTGAAACCATGGGTCCAAGGTGGAAAAAACATGGGAACTCACAAGGCAGAAGGACGTGAGGTGGGACAGAACTATGGTCAGCCAGTAAGGTTAATTGTTCAGGTAAAATTGACCGAATCAGGGACAAATGGGGAAGTGAGTCACGTGGTAAGCGGACATGCTTAAAGAGCAGTGACTCTTCCGTAGGGGGACGGGATGGTGACTGCCGGCTTCCTCAGAGACCTATTTAGAATATCAGTTCCTGATGTTTGTGCTTAGGATGTGGTTGCATTTGCTTTGTCTTTTGTCTTGAGATCTGGCCCACAGCAGAGGTGTCTGTCTCCTCCAAGCTTGTAGGGCACCCGGTCTTCTGCATAGGCTCCTTTGAGGGCCCAGCCTGTCTGACTGTAATATTTCTAACTCACTCAGCTGCCTGTAACAAAATCATTTTATCGGGGCACAGCACCATCAAGACCACCAAACCAGAGCTCCTTGGCAGCAGAGACTGACCTTCAATCCTGCCTTCCAAGGTGCTCACATGTACATGGCACCACATAATTTGTGTAGGATGCATAGACAACATCTCTAGCTGTTCTCTCTGGGTGTTTTTTTTTTTTTTTTTTTTTTTTTTTTTTTTTGGTTTTTTTTTTGTTTTTGTTTTTGTTTTGTTTTTTTGGTACTGGGGATTGAACTCACAACCTCACACTTACCAGGCAGGTGCTTATGCTGCTGAGCTAAACCCTCAGCCTTTCTCTCTGCTTTCTGCCCCATGGCCATGCTCACCTGATGCCTGACCAGCTTGCCCACCATGTTCTTCCGATGGAGCCAGCCCATCTGGAACCATCTGGATTCCTGACTTTTTTGCTTCTCCCATGGGTCTGCACGGCCCCTCAGTGCTCTTTAAACCCGTAACATTCCCACAGGACTCCCAGTGTCACCAAGGCCAGGTGGCATCCAGAAATTGAGACCAGATGACCTCCCATCCCATGCCATACCCATATCCAGCAATGCCACCTCTCCGGCAAATAGCAGTACAAATCCACACAGTGAAAGTTTCGGCTTCGAATTGGCTCATCAAATATATATCTATAGATATTCGTAACATTCCAAATAAAGAAATTATTCCATGGAACATGCCCAAGTTCCAAGTCAAATAAATGTCCTGTTTAAGAATACACACACACACACACACACACACACACACACACCCTCATGATTCCATCACATCATCTCTAAAGGGAGGAGCTATCTAAAGCTAAATGGTTTCTTATGAATATAAATATCTTCATTACTAACATCTGTTTTCCACTCATTCATGTTAGACTCTCTGATTAAAGTATCATTTTGGAGCCAGTTTCCTAGTATTGGCTCAGAAGGAAGCTCAGAAACTAATGAAATTGGATGTAAATGAAATAGAGAAATTATTTTGGTGACACTTTTTAGGAGTCACCAAAGCCTGGAGAGACTGACCCGAGAATCACATGTTATGATGTGGTGCAGTGCAGGACCCAGAGGAAAGAGCTGGTGTCAAGGGCGACCCTGGGGACCAGAGCTGGGCAGAGGATTCACGTGTGAAATGCAAGAAGCCCTAGTCACTCACCAACCCTGAAGTTCACTTTCTCATGGTACTCAGGAAGCTACACTGAAGCACTAAGAACACACAAGTAATATTACCTATTATTATGGTTATGATTATTATTATTATTAGTTGCAAAGAAAGGCATGACCCCATACACCTCATGGTTTCAATTCCCTTGGCCTCCTTTCGAAAGAGAACTACTCACAGCAAAATCCCTCCAGACTGATCTTCTCCCACTTCTGTCTCTGGTCCTCTCTGGAACCCCGTCCAATCTGACCCATGTCCCCATCCAGCCGTCAAGAATATCAGAGTCATGATGAACCAGACATTTGCTAAAGCATCTATTCTTGTCCCGACCTTATGAACTCCAGCAGCACCCTTAGGTGCAGAAAGTCAAAATGCCTCTTCCTGCCTGCTCTGTTAGTTTGCTTCTGGAGCTGCAGGCACCAGGTTTTCCTTCTGCCGCTCCAGCTGCCCGCTCTTGGCCTACAGGAGTTCTCACTCCCACCCAGCCGCTCAGTGCTGGAGGCTGGGCTCGTGCTTGGTCCTGCTTTCTGCATCAGCACTGACTCCTGCTGGCATCTCAAGGCTTTGAATCCTGTCCTGCTCTGAGCAATCCCTCACTGTTCCCACCAGCCTGCACCTCTTCCAGACCACGTGTGCCCTCCACACAGCACCTGCTTCTGCATATTAATAAGACGGCTCATTTTAATAGCCTTATAGAGACAAGTGTACTTATCATAAACTCACCCACTCTAAGTACAGTGATGCCTTGGACACGAATACTTCTGTTCACCAGAACAGAATTTGGTTTGCAAACAGCATTTGGCAAAATTTTGCTTCCATTTGCAGAACTCGGCATCTGGAGATGAACACAACCAGCTGTCCCCCCCCCCCACACACACACACACAAACACAAACATGACTGGCTTCCCCACAATCACAGTACAAACTAAGTTCATGAACTGGGGTGTCAGTGCCTCCGTTCATGAACATATTCATTTACAAACTATTTGATTTGAGAACAGAAGCATCTGGCCAAATTTTTGTTTCTGTTTGCAAACTCTGCAGTGGGTGACAGACACAACCACAGCCATCTTTCCTGCATGAACACAAACCTGGGCATCTTTCCCAAAAT